TTTTTTTTTGAGACGGAGTCTTGCTCTGTCTTCCAGGCTTGAGTGCAGTGGTGTAATCTTGGCACACTGCAACCTTCACCTCCCAAGATCAGTTGATTCTCCTGCCTCAGCCTCCCAAATAGCTGGGATTACAGTGCCTGGTTTATTTTTGTATTTTTAGTAGAGATGGGGTTTCACCATATTGGCCAGGCAGTTTGAACTCCTGAACTCAAGTAATTTGCCTGCTTCAGCCTCTCAAAAGTGCTAGGATTACAGGCATGAGCCACCGGGCCTGGCCAAAGTCTTTTATCTTTTAATACTACCTCTCTGGTGTTTTCTCGTTTTTCTTTTCTTTTCTTTCTTTTTTTTTTTTTTTTAAAAGAAATAGTCTCGTTCCGCTGCCCAGCCTGGAGGGCAGTGGCATGATCATAGCTGACTGTAACTTATGAACCCCTGGTATCAAGCAATCCTCTCACCAAAGTAGCTAGGACTATGGGACTACAATTATCTGCCACCATGCCCAGCTTTTTTTTTTTTTTCTTTTTTTTTAATTTTTTTTTTTTTTTTTTTCCATAGAAACCTCATCTCTACTAAAAATACAAAAAAATTAGCTGGGCGTGGTGGCATGCACCTATAGTCCCAGCTACTGGGGAGGCTGAGGCAGGAGAATCACTTGAACCTGGGAGGCAGAGGTTGCAGTGAGCCAAGATTGTACCACTGCACTCTAGCCTGGTGACAGAGTGAGACTCCGTCTCAAAAACAGGACAAAAAAAAAAAACAACAAGGTCTCATTATTGCCCAGGGAACTCCTGGCCTAAAGTGATCCTCCTGCCTCGGCCTCCCAAAATGCTGGAATTTACAGGTGTGAGTGCCTGGCCATTTTTTTTTATTTTTGAGACAGGGTCATGCTTTGTCACCCGGGCTAGAGTGCTGTAGTGCAATCATGGCTCACTGCAGCCTCTACCTCCTAGGCTCAGGCGATGCTCCCACCTCAGCTCCCCAAGACGCTGGGACTACAGGCACACACCACCAATCCTGGCTGATTTTTGTATTTTTATTAGAGATGGGGTTTCACCATATGGGCCAGGCTGGTCACAAACTCCTGACCTCAAGTATCTGCCCACTTTGGCTTCCCAAAGTGCTGCGATTACAGTTAGGAGGCACCATGCTTGCCCTTCACTGACCTGTTATTCCCATATTTTTTTTTGGCTCTAGTCTTCAGACACTGTAAAGAATGATCATTGATGTACATACCAATTAGATACCAATTAAATATTTCCAGTATGGGCAAAAGTTCTTTGAGATGTTAATTGGGTTAGTTTGTATATAACTTTTTACTTAAGATTTCTTTTCATGACAGTTTTCTTCTGTGATAAATATTCAAAATAATTGAAGAAGTTACTGAAACTAATTGTATGTGTTGTACCTTCTGGAAACAAGTGTGATAGTGACATTTATCTTTTCAGATAACCTACTTTCTCTTTTTCCAGCTGCATTCCAGTCCATGATGACAGGAGGTAACATTGGAAAGCAGATAGTTTGCATTTCAGAGGAAATCTCTTTGTAATCACTGTAAATGTCATCAAGGCAATCACAGATTTCTTTTCCATTTTGCGTATTTTCAAAGATACCTTAAAAAATCCTTAGGACATACATAGCCCTTGATTTAAATGTAATCATAGGTGTTATTTTTAGTGGCCACAGGGGATTTGATATACTCATTAATGAATCATACATGTTTTTAAAAATTAATAACTTTTTAAAAAATAGAATGCTTGAGAGGTACTTAGTAAAGGTTTGTTAAACTAGAAACGTTTTACATGATCTGATACAACCATTAATGACTCTTACACAATGTTTTTTAAAATTCATGTTTAGTAATAACTTTTATTAAAATAGATTGCTTTAAAAAATAGAATGAGAATGCTTGAGAAGCACTTAGTAAAGATTTGTTGAACTAGAAATGTTTTACATGATTCTTAAATTGAAACTTGGTGTAAGAATAGAATTGAGATGGCCTTTTCTTCACATTGTAGACAGAAAAGGCTTAATAGTATGACGTGTACATAGGGACTGGGAGCAGGATTGGGGGTTTCAGAGCTTGTGGAAGTTTTTGGGATAGGAGACCAGCAGCTTGGGGCTGAGAGTAGTATGGGAAGATAAATAACTGAGGTTGGTTAAGTTAATAGATTTACTCCAGAGGATGATCTCTTTGTATTTTGCCAAATAATTTATAGCCTAAAAACTCAATATATATTGAGAAAAGTATATGTTTATGTTAGCAGACACATACTGTCAAATAGTTGTAAAGATTGAGAGCACAAATAGATGTAAATATCACTTGGAGTTTTAGGTGATTAAAAAGATTGATGGCAGGGTGCAATGGCTCATGCTTCAAATCCTAGCACTTTGGGAGGCAGACGCAGGTGGATCACTTTAGATCAGGAGTTCGAGACCAGCCTGGCCAACATGGTGAAACCCTGTCTCTAAAAATACAAAAATTAGCTGGGCGTGGTGGTGGGCGCCTGTAATCCCAGCTACTCAGGAGGCTAGGGCTGGAGAATCGTTTGAACCTGGGAGGCGGAGGTTGCAGTGAGATGAGATTGGGCCATTGCACTCCAGACTGGACAACAAGAGTGAAACTCCGTCTCAAAAAACAAAAACAGATTGACAACAAAGACAGCTTCAGAAAATGACAGGACTGGGCAAATTAACAAATGTTTGTAAACACGAATGTTTAGAACCTACTGATGTACCTCAGTAAGAGTTTATTAATTGTAATCAATCCTCGCAGAACAGTAAAACTGAAGATTTTTTCTGAATGTTTTGGCTTACGATTATCTACACCCTGCCAATATAATTTTGTATGCAACATTTGTAATAAGTAGATTCAAATTGTGTTGGTAATCAGCTTCTCCAGTTTACTTGAGTGGCCTTGTTAACTTTTCCTGGACCATTTCATATCCTGAGGGGGTTTCATCTTTTCTCTGTATGTTAACTAACTCCCAAATCTCCATCTGTATTTCTGACCTCTTTCTTGAGCACTGGACCTTCACCTGCAACCTCCAAGTAAATATCCTCAACTCTGGATTGGCACCTTACAGAGCGCTTTTTTGTTTTTGAGAGGGTCTCGCTCTGTCGCCCAGGCTGGAGTGCAGTGGTGCGATCTCAGCTCACTGGAACCTCCGTTTCCCCGGTTTAAGCGATTCTCCTGCCTCAGCCTCCCAGATAGCTAGGATTACAAGCGCGTGCTACCAGGCCTGGCTAAATTTTTTGTATTTTTAGATCGTGCCACCACGCCTGGCTAAATTTTTTGCATTTTTAGTAGAGACGGGGTTTCACCGTCTTAGCCAGGATGGTCCCCAACCTCAAGTGATCCGCCCGCCTCGGCCTCCCAAAGTGCTGGCATTACAGGCGTGAGCCACCGCGCCTGGCCTACTCTGCTTTTCTAAAGAGGAATTATCTTCCTCGGAAACATTTCTCCTTTATTTTAAATCACCATTAGTAATTTGTGCACCCAAACTTGTCATCAAGGCTTATCTTTAACCTTGAAAATGATTTTTTTTTTTTTTTTTTTTTTTT